TGAAAAAGGAAAACACTTAAATAAAAAATAAAAAGTAGCTCATAAATGTAGTGGATTTAATCCTACACCAAGATTATTTATATAAATAGAAAAAAAAATTGGTATAAAGGTAGATCCTTCAGGGACAACCGACTTTACTGTTAAGAGGAGCAGAGTTATAACTGTCTCCACGTCAAATTGTTCAAAAACCAATTCAGCACAGCACACTAATACCTGTATGTTTTATTTTTTTGCAGGAGAAGAACCATGATCCACTGAATCAAATGCTTTTGATTACTCAATAAACAGGGCAACACATACTTTTTTTAATCACCCAGAGCAGTAATAATATTATTTGTGACTGATACAGCTGCACTTATAGTACTATACCCTTGTTTAAAGACTGACTTAAAATATATTACTTCCAAAATGTACTAGGATCATTAAGGTTCTCATTTATTAAGTATAGACAGTACTCACTTTTTGTATTTAGTGCATTTGATTAAGTGACGGGGTATTTTTGAAAATGTATGAAATAAAAAAAACCTTTCTCATAATTGTCTATCTCTGTGGGTATTTTGATGTAGAGCCAGATTGAAACATTTAAAACATTTTCTGTTGATAAAATAGGGTTTATTTTATTTTTATAGTTTGACTATATACTTTATGTTTGAGATACAGTATATACATATATAATTTAAAACTTAATTGTTGATGGAAAACTTGCATTCACTATGTTTAGATATGTGTCCTACTGATTCTAGTCAAAAAAAAGAAAAGTAAGAATATTTAATACCAGTGTTAGTGATAGTTAGTGTTAGGGAATTTTGCTGGTGGAATTAACATTAGTTTACATGTGTATTACATAATGTGCTTTCTTTCCTATAATATTCATGAAGCTGCTCTTAACTGTATAAATATAATTAAACACTTGGTGATTATCGTGATAATTTTATTAATTGTCACCAAAATAAGGGCACTGAAAACATTTGTAACTGTCCATATTTTCCACGTTTTCCCTTACACAAACCAGGGTTTGCATTCTTTGTTGATCATTTGACCATACATACATAAATGTTCTGATATTATACTATCAACTAGTGCAACAGAGTACGATAATATCAATGCAAAATATAACAGTAGGACAAGTATAGCAGTAGAGAAGACACTAACTGAATTAGCACATTTGAATAGGTTATGTAATGAAATAATTTGTTAGATTGTGGGATTTCATCTTAAATTATGCTAACAGCGTTTCATGCTCCAAGCACCTAGTTAAAATCTTTCTATCATTATTTTACCATTTGATCAGGATTAAAGGTCCTTTCGCAACCCTCATTTTAAAAATTGTGTATAATTGTTAAATGTGTGTTAATTAATTTGTCACGTGAAACAGTACAAAATGGAGTCTTCAAGCAGTGAGGATGATTTTGTTTTCCTCTGTCTACTGCCAAATTCTCTGAAATGCCTGTGGAGATCACTTATGTAGAGAAATGAACATTCAATTCATGGGCAATAGCTCTGGTGGACATTCCTGCAGTCAGCATGCCAATTGCACGCTCCCTCAAAACTTGCGACATGCACATTTTCCAGTGGCCTTTTATTGTGGCCTGCCTAAGGCAATACCCTGGCTGTCTGATCAGCATCTTGATATGCCACAGATGAAGTGGATAGATTATCTCGGCAAAGGAGAAGTGCTCACTAAGAGATTTTGACAGATTTGTGAACAATATTTGAGAGAAAGAGGCCTTTGTGTAAATAGAGAAAGTCTTAGATCTTTGAGTTCAGCTCATGATGAATGGGGGCAAAAACAAAAGTGTTGCGTTTATAATTTTGTTATATACACACACACACACATATATATATATATATATATATATATATATATCTCCATCCCTCTCTCACCCTCAGCTCCTGGAGTTTGAGGGTTCTGCGCAGTATCTTAGCTGTTCCTAGGACTGCACTCTTCTGGACAGAGACCTCTGATGTTTTACCTGGAATTGCTGTAGCCACTCTCCCAGTTTGGGGGTCCCAGCCCCCAGTGCTCCAATTACCACTGGCACCACTGTTGCTTTCACTTTCCACATCTTTTCAGCCCTTGGTATTTTTCGAGATCTTGCGTTCCTTCTTCTTGATGTTGTTGTCGCTTGGGATTGCCACATCTATCACTGCTGCTTTCTTTTGCAGTTTGTCGATCAGCACAATGTCCAGTTGGTTAGCCACCACCAGTTTGTCGGTCTGGATCTTGAAGTCCCACAGGATCTAGGCTTGTTCATTCTCAACTACCTTAGTAGGTGTGTCCCATTTTGACCTTAGACCTTCCAGCCCATACTTCTGGCAGATGTTCCAGCTACCTCGTTATAGCGTTCCATGTACGGCCTGCATCTTACACCCTGCTGTTATGTGCTGTCTCAGGGGCATCCTTGCACAGTCTGCACCTGGGGTCCTGGCTGGTGTGGAAGACCCCAGCCTCTCTATCTTGTACCTGAGTGCCTGTTCTTGTGCCGCCATGATTAGTGCTTCTGTGTTGTTCTTTAGTCCAACCTTTTCTAGCCACTGGTAGGATTTCTTCCCCCTCCTTGTCCTTATCCTTGGGTTTCCCCAGGTGAAAAAGAAGTGCTCTTAAAGGCACTGAAAATATACTTGAAATTCACATAGCATGCTATATACATTCGTACTTCTAACATGATATACAAGTATATTAAAGATATATTCTCCTGAGCTTTAACATACTTCTCAAAAGTATACTTTGAATAAATTGGTAATAAATATATACTTAATTAAACTTTTAATAAATATGCTTAAATAAAAGTATATTTTTACAACATTTTAGTCTATTTATTAAAAATATATTAATTTAACTCTTAGTAAATACTATTTAGGTGTACTTTGTGGAAGTACATTGTTAAACAATTACACTTTTAGTGGGTTAAAATATATTTATGCCAAACATGCTTCATTGTGTAGGCTACTGCAAAATATTGTAATTATTTATGTAATTGCCACATGTTTCAGCCTGATTTCCAGAAGTATGATTTTTAAAACATATTTTATTTAACATTAAAATATATTTTCAAAAGCATATTACTTTTTTTCATTTCTTTCTTTTTCTTTTTTTCAGGTAAATAGCTAGTTGAGATCAGAGACCTCTTTCATAAGGGTAACCTAGCCTAGAAGGAAGCAGCACTTGTTGTTAACTTAACAAACAACCACATATAGAAATAAGCATACTTTAAATCATAATGCAGTTATACTTGTATCTGTTTGTAAACAGTAAACACATGTGTACACAGGGGAAAGTGTGTCCTCCCGCCCAGCCTGCTAGCGCAGTGCATTCAGTTGGACCAATCAGAATCAAGGTTTTCAAATCGACGACCCATCACACAACGTAAAAGTTCGCTTCACGAAAGTTAACGTGTGAACGTGGCGTTGAGAGAGGGAAGCTATTTCTGGCAAGAAATCCTTTTGTTTCTTAGGTTTCCTTTGTTTACTTTACCGACTCAGACTTGGAAGGTGGACACCACAGACATAATAAGAAAAGAACACAGAAGAGAAGAATATCCAGTCAGCTCCCTGCAGAAATTAAATGTGAAAAGAGCTAAAGAGGTGTGCCTGGCAAGTACAAGCAGGAGAGGACAGACACAGATACTGCCAGCAAAAATCATCTTTCTTGGTAAGTTTATTATTGTTAGCAAGACAACACAATTGTGTAAGTTAACTAAAGTTGAGCTCACTCTGGGTTTGGAAATATTTCACTTGGTGGATAGTTCTGGTGTGCATAAGCTAATGCTAGCACATGAATTAATATATTTGTTAACGTTAGCTAACGTTAGTTAGCATTTGAATAGCTTCATAATCGAGACAGCAACTTTCTTCTGCCTTAAACAGTGTTGGGAGTAACGCGTTACAAAAGAAACGCAGTTAATGTTACAGTAATGTATTGCTTTTTGCTGTACGGCAGTTTTTAATGTTACTAAAATTTCGGGAACAATCAAAAATCTCAGTAACCTGTTGCTGGAATTTTATGCATGAGATTATAACAAGGCAGGCCTGTGCATGTGTGTGTAAAGAATAAGTTCACATTTTTATAGTCTACCTTAATACTCACATGTCCGTGTTTACAGTAAGTTACTGGTCACTGTAATCATTATTCCTGCCCATATAGTCTGTAAAGACAACACCACAGTCATTTTTGTATAAATTCATTCTAAAGTTTACTGAAGCTACTATGAATCATCAGCTAAGCATCTGTGTTAGACTATTCAAAAGTGGATATCTTCTAAAGGTACACTGTTTTTTAGAGATTTCTTACTGCAACCATGGAGGGGTAATCATTACAGTGACCAATAACTCAGTTATAACAGCAGTGTTAAAGGGTACACGGGTATGTGAGAATTGTTTTTGACGCGCTTGAAATAATGTTTTTATGTACTGCAATGCCTGACCACACGATATAATAGCTTGTGATGTTATGTAAAATACTGCTCAACTTTATGTCCATTTGTATGGTCATAGATCCTGTATTCAGCTTTTAAAAGTTGTACCTACCCTTTGCCAACTTTAACCAACTTAATGCTAAACCCAGAGTTGGAATTTCCTGCCTTAGCTCAAATAAAAAAAATTAAATAAAGAATAATAATAAAGATTTGCTATAAGAATAGAATTAGTGTTTATAATGAGATGCAAATGAAGAACTAAATTAGGTGGAAGTACTGGCCTAACTGAATATTATCTCATTTGCAACTGCATTTCTTTTGTTTTAGAGCTTCCTGGGATCGTTGCCTCACTCAGATGGCTCCAGGACCAGCTGGACCCTCACAAGCTCAATGTGCTCATAGGTGTGTCTGGCTCCTGCACACCATCACTGTTCTTGCTCTCAATACATGTCAACAGGGTCAGACTAAATAAACAAATATTATTGTGAAAAAATAATTTTATTTAAAATATTGTTATACATTAAGTAATTGGCTACTTTTGTACTTCACAAATTGACTGCTGTGTTAATGTGAAATGACATGTAGACAGAACAGTTGTTAAGCAAGTCTGTATGTTTGTTATTTGTTGTAACATTTTATCATATACAGCTCCTTGGCTGAATGTACCGTATTGTTTATGTAATGTTTTTGATTATGTTGTAATGGAAGAACTGTGCATTTACTGGGACAGGTCCCTTGTGGAAAACCATTTCACCTCAGTGTTTCCCACACATAGGCTTTACTGGGGCGGAGCTGCCGGAGCTGCCCAGGCAAACTTGGAGACCCATTTTAATTGCAGTGCTGCACAGCACATATTCACATCCCTCACTCGGTCGCTCCCTCTCTCTCTCCTGCATGTACACAACCCATCTGTGAATTGAATGGTTGGTATCATGAACACCCCTGCACACTTTAAAAAAGTTATTAGCGAGCATGTAAGGAGCCTAGCCAATAAGGATAGCTATGTTAACTTTAGAATGGGCCTACAGCTGTCGAAGATAGCACGCTATTCATAACTGGTAGTCTATAGGTGCATTCGAGATGACTGCGGCTGACTTTAGCTTATTTGATTGGCTAGTCTAATGTGAGATGCAGGCGACTGCAGGGGAGGGGTATGAAAACAGTGCCGTCAGACTCGGCGCCTGCCACTGCCTTGCTCCCGCGAGGTAATGTTATGTCATAGTGATGTGACATCATGGTGATGTTTTGCAGCACCTGGTGTTGTGACGAATTCTGCCTGCCTGCGGAGAATTACATGCACCTCGCGTGTGGTAACGCCCTTTTATGCTGAGAAAAGAGGTGGACGCATATCTCGGCAGGTAAATTAGCCAACATCATCTGTCCTGCCAAATTCTGCATCCACCTGTATAGGACCTTTTTAGACACTTTGCTGTGTGTCATTGATCAATTGCGGTTATCACCACATATTTATTGCTAAATCTCAAGGAATGCTGCTTCTACTAACTGTAGCTAATAAAATATCAACAGCCCTAAACTACTCTAAACGTTAATGAAATATTTCGAATCATTTACCCCACAAAGAAAATTATAGCGTTTAAAAGCAGTATTTGGAAGTGCATGCAATTCTCGGCAGGCAAGCGAAATTCAGCATATCACCTGCTAAAGTCTCCCCCTCCCCCGCCACATTTACACTGTCATTCTGTGGGAAACACTGCACCTGAACCTAAACAGTTAGCATCAGAACAGTTAGACATGATGTCATATTGTGTTTCAGCAACTTTAAACAAAATAAAAAATCTGACAATGGTTATTAATTAATTAGAGGTAATATTGCTTTGATATAGACAAAATATTTCCTTTTCCCTTCCACAGATGCTGTGTGATAAAGCAGTTTCCAAATCCTATAGTGTCTGCAGTCACAGAAAATGCAACAAGTCCTACTCAAAGATACCGACCCTCCACTCCAAGGATAAGGATTGTGACATTTTTCAGTTTCAGTTTGGTTCCACCATTTGTACTGTAAGCTTGTGACGGAGTACCTTCACTACAGTTGAGTAAGCGCTCGGACTGCCATACCAACGAGCCTGGCTCTTTGGCCTTGCTGTCAAAGTTGCATGTTTGGTTCCCTGTAGACCTGTGTTTGAATCTGGGTAGGGTGACTGCTCTCACCTTTGGCCGCATATGGTGTTAGAAGTGGGATGGCTTGCCGTGAGGTCATCTGAGCCGTGCCCAGAGTCCGAACCGTATGAGGGACCACCATGGGTAACATTAATGATGGGATGTGTATAGTGTACTTTTCAGTAATACTGATCGTATGTCATCATTTTACTGATTTTATTTTTATTTGAAGGTATTTTGGTCAAGATGTGATACATGCTGTTGTACCTTTTAATGCACAGGAATTTTTGTAATGTACACAAAATTAAAGTTTTTTAGTTGTCTGTGTGTTGTAAAATACTTTTTTTTACTGGTTTTTATTATTATGCTAAAAGGGCATTTTGCAAGATATTTTTAATGCATTAATAATTAATTATTCTCATACTGAATGGTTTCATAAAGCAGCTTCCCAAGATCTTAATAGTGGCTCTTGGAGTATACTAGTAATAAATTACTAATATGCTGAAATGCTAATAAAAATGTTCAGGGAACACATTTAGAATATATTTAAACTGTTCTTCAAGTATAGCACAAAAGGGTATTTTAAGTTAAATTTAAGAAAGTATATTTAAATTACAGTAAAGGTACTTAAAATAGGTCCATTTTAACACAACAAGTATATTACAATATATTGCAATTATCTTAAAGTTGACTTTAAGTATTTCTAAAATGACACTTAACATACTTTAAGTTGTTCCAAAAAACATTTAATATACACTTAGTATAGTACAATTAAAATAATAATAATTTATTTGTAGGGCACTTTTCAAAAACAAGTTACAAAGTGCTTTAACAAGTGTAAAGACAATAATACAAAAACAATACAAGATAAAAGCAAGAAAACATTGAAAAGACTACAATACACGTTTAAGATAAATATAAAATTAGTTAAATAGAATAAAATAAAAGGGATAAAATAAAGTGAAATAAGATCGGGAAAGGCTCTCCTATAAAAGTATGTTTTAAGCAGGGACTTAAAAGAGTTCACTGACTCAGCTGACCTGATTTCCTCAGGTAGGCTGTTCCAGAGCCTCGGGGCCCTGACAGCAAACGCTCTGTCCACTTTAGTTTTCAGTCGAGACTCTGGAACAGACAACAGACCTCTGCCCGAGGATCTCAAGGTACGTGCTGGTGTGTATGGGACTAAAAGTTCAGAAATATAACAAGGCGAGAGGCCATGATGAGTTTAAAAGTGATCAATAGAATTTTTAAGTCAATTCTAAAACACACTGGGAGCCAATGAAGTTAAAATAGGAGTAATGTGGTCATATTTCTTTGCCAAGCCTGGCAGCTGAGTTCTGGACAGTCTGGAGTCGATCAATAGGTTTTTGTGTTAAACAGGTGAAAAGGCTGTTGCAATAATCCAGGTGTGATGATGAGGGGGTGTAAAATGGTCTCGGTGTTGTAGTGTTTGTGCATTTTATATTGAATAAATTTGAAGCTACTCTAAATTCCTTTCTCCTCCCCAGAGAAGAAGGGGAGGGGTCAAAGTTGCTTTCTCTAAGTGCTATCCCTGACCATAAAACTGGCACCTTTTTAATTCCGAAGCTGATAACACGGGGCCTGACTGTTAAACTGACAAAGGGACACAAGCCAGCCATTAGCATTCCCCCCCCCCCACATGTTTCCGTGGCAACTGACCTTATTCTTTGTTTTATTACCACATCAAAGGGATCCTCCTTGTCTCACCTAGGTGTGACACAATCCAGGACAGCCGAACTTTGAATGGCCAAAGACTGCAGTCTCCAAAGACTCAAAGCATTTAATTAAGTTTAATTAAATCTTTAGTTACCTGATTACGTTTGCCTCTATTTGAGTAGTTATGTTAACTGTTGTTGCTATCCGTTGTTGATATTAGTGCTGAAAAGAAACACTTGTGCAGTGTTTTTATTTTCAGCAAGACACTCCTTCATCTAATGTAATCCAAGCTTTCCTCATGTAACCTGAGCTCCCCCAAGTGGACGAAATAAGTATTACATGCCCTCGTTGGAAATGCCGTTAAATGTATAAATATCCTGACCAATAATGTGACAATTGTTTCCTGTTACCAAATGCCTAGAACAGTACAACCGTTTGACCGTTGAGGTTCGATTGTGGAAAATATTTGATTATAATACGTGCAAATAGTTTTCTTTTAAACATTAAGTTTAGAAAGGCAGTCCCTTGGGAAACCTGAGACGCCCCCTGTGGAACCACGCCCCAGGAAACAAAAGAGCGACACGCGACCTCGCTTCACTCTCTTCTATTCGCTGTTGGCCCTCTTCCACTCTGCTCTGCTCGCTGGACACTTTGGCACGTGTGCGGGGTGCCTCACCGGGCAGCCCCCTCAGAGTCGACCAGCGAAACTGGCCTTTTGTTTCGCTTGAAACTACACACGTGAAGTGCCGAGACATCGATCTGCCTTCAGTTTGTTTTTATTTTCTTTATTTCTTTTGTTTCTTAAAGTTATCAGTCCGCCAGGATCGGCAGCTAGTGGGACCAGCAACAGGCCAAGCAGGCCGCCGGCAAGCAGTAAGACCTAACACATCTTCTGTGATCAGATATTTCCCTTTTTAACTCCTAAAATCACAGCATTAGTTTACTTTCATTAGCTCTTCTATGCCGTATGAGTCAAATGCTTCCCACAATCGAACCTCCAGGCTCATTGTTCAGCAAATGTTTATGTTCCCTGTATCCAACCATCTTTTTATCACATTAGTTAGAGAATAAATTCACTGTAATATAATCAAGAACTGTGTGTGTTGCCTATTTCTACGTCCCTGCCGAGAGAATTGATCCTTTAGATATGAGACTGACTGACTGATTTAAGATAATTGAGCGATTATTAACTAACTGATCACTAGTAATAATTGTATAATTATTAAAACTACCTAGAGGTCCGGAGACTCTAGGATTATAACCACTCCGGTGGTGCCCTTAACGAGGAATCTGGTTTGATTTTATGAATCTTAAAAATTCATAATTGGGTATCAGTTCTCATACATTTATTAAATTGCATAACTAAATTTTAGGTTTGCTAAAGTGTCCTTAAAAGTTAACATAGATCGAATTTTTGCTATATTTCTAAGTTGATAAAAACATGACTGAACAAGTTTTGTGGTGTGCTGCTCGAAATTTAAATTACTATCAAACCAAACACCAAGGTTCTTTGCCACAGGCTTAATGTGATTTACTAGGGAACCAGCAGATGGCAGTATTTGTTTTGCCATCTGCTGGGACCCGATGACCAGGATTTCTGTTTTGTCTGAGTTCAGCTGGAGGAAATTATTTGACATCCATTTTTTAACTTCACAAAGGCAGTCGGTAAATGAACTCAGCATTCCAGGGTCTGAGGATCTGACGGGCAAGTACATTTGTGTGTCATCAGCATAAATATGAAAAGAAATACCATGTTTATAGATAATATGTCCAAGGGGAAGCAGATACAAGGAAAACAAAATGGGTCCTAAGACCGACCCCTGAGGCACACCATATTTAACTGCACAGAACGAAGAGACATAGTTGTTTACAGACATGCAAAACTTCCTATTTGACAGGTAGGATGAAAACTATTCTAGGGCAGTACCAGAGATCCACACCCAGTGCCTCAGTCTGTCTAACATGATGTTGTGATCAATGGTGTCAAAAGCAGCGCTAAGGTCCAGGAGTACCAGGACTGAGCACATACCTTCATCAGCAGACATTAAAAGGTAATTGGTGAAGTTAAGCAGGGCAGTCTCAGTGCTGTGGTACTTCCTGAAACCAGATTGAAACTTTTCAAATATTTTGTTATTTTCCAGTACAGTGAGCAATTCTTTGGACACAATTCTTTCTAGAATCTTTGCAATAAAAGGCAGTTTTGAAATTAGTCTAAAATTATGTGGGATGGAGGGATCTAAACCAGTTTTCTTTAAAAGTGGGTTCACAAAATAATCAGGGACACAACCAGTAGATAGGGAGCTGTTGAAAAGAGAGATCAAATGGGGCCCAACAGAATCTATTACTTTCAGTAAAAACTTTGTAGGTATTACATCAAGTGGGCTGGAGGACACTCTCATTTGTGATACTGTTTTTAAAAGCTTGGACAAGTTGATGGGTTAAATTGGTTAAAACTCTCTTGTTGCTGGTGAGGGACCTCTGAGTAAGAGGCCGCGGGGGTAATAGAGGCTCTGATTGACACCACCTTATTGGTAAAATAAGATAAAAACAATTCACAGTCATCATTACTTCCAGCTGAGTCACAAGGAGGGGTTGGGTTTACCAGCTGATCCACAGTCTTAAACAGAAACCTGGGATTGTGTTTAAGTGTAGTAATGAGTTCAGAAAAATAGTGTGTTCTCGCATCCTTAACCATGTTATTGTAGTTAATTAATAAATCCTTCAGACCGAGGTAATGGACTTGGAGACTGGATTTTTTCCATCTGTGCTCTGCTTTCCTGCATTCCCTTTTTAGGCTGCGAATGCTGTCATTTATCCAGGGTTGCTTACTAGCTTTAGACGTAGGCCTAACCTTTAGAGGAGCAGTAATATTTAGTGATGACAAGCAGATATGATTGAAGTGATCGACCAGACTGTTGGTGTTGGAATCAGACAGGTGTTGGCTTTGGCTCTGAAAGAATGCGCAAAACTTTGAAACACTTTGTTCATTAAAGATGCGAGAACACACGGAGCTTGGTGAGACGGCATGAGTAACAGGCGAATCGCAGCTAAAAAACAATACATCTGTGGTCAGATATGGTCATGTCCACTAATTCCACAGAGGAAATGCTGACACCCAGGGTAAAAACCAAGTCCAGTGTATGACCACGGTTATGGGTTTGCCCTTTGACATGTTGTTTGAAGTTAAAAGAAGTGGCCATATTTAAAAAGTCAGTTGCATTAACATTGGTGGGGTCATCAACATGAATATTAAAATCGCCACAAAGAACAATTCTATCGTAATTTAAAACCAGAGTAGATAAAAATTCATCCAGGCGGTTTTGGGGGGCGATAAATTATAACAAATATGATAGGTTGCAGCCCTCCAACTTTAAGAGTGAGAACTTCAAAGGAGTTAAATTCATCACAGCGTACTTGATGACATTTTAAATATTTCCTATACACGCTCACTAGCCCACCACCACGACCACTGACCCTCGGTTGACTAAAACAATCATATTGAGGCGGACATATTTCAGCTAGCTGGCTATAGTCATTCATCTGCAAACAGGATTCAGTTAAAAACATACTGGGAGCAGACGGCTTTACATGCCAGCAGGTGGAGACAGTTGTTTGTGGCAGTGAGGCAGAGATCTGTTCAGTGAGC